AGGGCTTGTCTACCTGGGGAAAAGAACGAGCCGTAAGCAAGGGTGTAAATTTACAGCATATTATCTATTCTGTGGGAACCCTTAAACACCAAGTAACACGCTATTTTGAAAGCAGCATCACCTATTACTCGTAGTAGGTCCACACTGGAAGCTATTACAGAGCAGTTGGTGCACCATAAAATGCAGTATCTTGCACAGCAAGCCATACACACAAGTCCAAATGTATATTTTTACACACATAAGCAGGTACGTGTATGTACTCCTCACATACAGAAGACCAAATCAAAGCTCAGGCTTATCTATATACAAACTAAATAATTAAGCAAGAGCAAAACTCTACATGGGTACACAGTCTGTTTCATTTGCCCTCTGGGAAAAAACTGTGGCAAATTAAACCAGTGCAAGTCAACTTTTAGGTCAGTTTCGCGTCTCTGCACACAACAGTGTGTAAGTTTCTAAGCTGCTACAAAGATTCCTGCAGCCTTTTGGATGGAACCAGGAGTGCAAAAGTGAAACTGGGAATACTGGCAGTTCCGAAATAGTGACGGATAGATAAAGAGTTGGATGTAGTGCATAGGAATAGATGTTGGTTGCAGCAAGGGAGACAGTTATTCTTCCAACTTTTCCAGACACTTAAGTCTTTTCACACCAATGGCTAAACCAAATTTTAGTACAGAAGAAAACCCACCAAGAAATCATTTCTTCATGGCCAGGACCTCCCTGACAGGCATTCTGTCCTGTCCCTGCAGATAGAAGCCCCCCAGCCTGCACCTTCAGCAGAAAGCAAAGCAGCAGGCACAGCACTACGGTGTCAGGCTCCAAGCTCCTCTCTTGCCTGGACAAGAGATGCTGGCAGGAGGCCTTCCTGATCTACCAGCCCGGGCTGGAAGGACCAGAGCTTCACTAGGTGCGTCCACAAGCCCCAGGTTCCTCTCTCGCATCACACACACACTTGCAGTTGCCTCAGCTTTGAGTAACTGCACAAGTCACAACAAAGCCCCTGGCAGCAACACCCCGGCACTGCCAGGGGAGACAGCCGTCCTCTTCCCAGCAACAGGCCTTTAAGTCCCTGCTCCTTCCCCACTTCCCAAAGCCCAACTAATGGCCCAACCTCCATCATCCAACACCTATTTTGTAGGCAGAGATTGAAGCAGGTGCAGCAAAACAAGAACTGCTGGGTTTACACCTCTGAGGAGGAGGAGGCACCCGGAGCCCACCCTGGCGGTGTCGGTCTCAGGTGAGGTGGCAGTAGGAGCATGAGAGTGACTTAACAGCCAGAGAGTGACTGAGCAGCTCTGCAAGAGGTTCAGGTTGCACATGAAGAGGGACTTCATTACTAGGGAGATAGCGCAGCTCTGGAACAGGCTGCCCAGACGGGTTGTATTATCTCCATCCTGGGAGGTTTTCCAGGCTACACAATTCATGGCTGACCTGATCTGGCGTTGGCAGCAGTCCTGCTCAGAGTGGGAAGCTGGACCAGAGATTTCCAGAGGTTCCTTCAAACCAACATGTCTAAGACTGAGAAGCCTTATGTGAGAGAGAGGGGAGATCTACAGCTGTATTCTAAGTCTTACCACAACATTCTCATAGGTATTATATCAGAATATTGTGTTTCATTGAAGCCACGTTCTGCTTTGAAAACAAGGATGCTCACCAACTGGTCCCTCTTTTAGGAAAATACAGGTTTATTTTTTGCTATTTAGAAAATGTCTTAATAATGTTAAGAAATTTGACTTTTTGACATCTGTTTTTGGCAAGACGTTTCCAGTAAAGATGAACGAGGCAGCTACTAAGTACCTGACAATGAATCATAGCTTTGTTTGCCCTACCCTACTTGAAACAAAAACCTGTAAAACTTTCACAGGAATATACACTCGGTAGCCTAAACACTGTAAAAACACGATTCTGTGTGAGTCCAGGAAGAGTCTTTCAAGATTACTTAGACATTTTCCAGCATTTTCAGAAGTGCAGTAACATACTGCCAACACATGAAGGGCATCACACCGACAGAGGAGTAACAGTACGCTGTGGTGACTATCAAAACCCAAGCACAATGTAGACTGAATGTCCAAGAACATTGTATTTTAAGATTACTAAAATCTAAGCTGATAGAACTACTCTTTTTCCCTTGCTGCATTTTATCTTTTCTTTTTTTGCTGCGTGTGAAGTGAAAGAAAAGAATGAATAAAGGATCACTTACTTGGATACTCCTGCCTGGTCCAAAACAACTTTTCCACCTCTACACGATGGATAAACTTTAACAAAAAATTCATATAACATGCCATCATCCACATCAGGAGTCAGGTCTCCCACAAAAAGTGAATATTCTGGACTAAAGAAATAAAAAGAAAACTTCTTAAGTACAATGATAAATACAATGATACAAAAGAGGAGGCACGCTGAGTGACAGCTAACATTTAGGCTAAATACTTGACTTCAGAGAACAGTGATATTAAAAGACCGTTTAATGGATACTTTAAAGTGTCACCAGTTAAATTGCTTACGTGACTAAAATTTTTATCGATGCTGCTTTTTCAAGTTAATTCAAGCAGCAGAACTAACCTACTCAATACTGCTTTTTATTTAAAACGAATTTCATTTTTTAGTTCTCACAGAATATCTCTGGATTTCTAATACGGGAAGAAAACATTAATGTTTCATTTACAAATTTTCTATTTCCGATACATTGATCTTAAATCATAATACACAAATTAAGATACTTCGCTGCTAGAAAGTTGAAATATCTTAAAAGACACTCCTGACAAATCTGCTCTGCCACGCAAAAAGCAAAGCATAAAACTGCCAGGCGTTCTAAGTTATCCTCCCTCTGGTAAAGACTCACGGGCAAGTTGCTGGGCTCAGAAAGGCTATTTTATCCATCTGTATTTCCAGAATAAATGGAACCGTAAGAATTAGTTACCAGATGTCAGTCTCATTCTTGGCCCCATCTCTCATGCCTTGATTCTAATCTAAAAAGTTGGGGTTTTTTTTGTTTGTTTAAAAGGTTCATAAATAATCATTTAAAATAAAAGTATAATTGCCGAGATATGACTAATACTACACTAATAAATTGCAGGACTCTTGTTGCTTTCACCCTCGTACACACCTGCCTGAACACCTCCTTGTGTTATTATTACTTCAACTGTGTAAGCGTTTCTGGGCAGGCATTATGAAAGGTACTCACACCACCCAACTTCAGGAGCCTAAATGAGCCCGTTCGCCTCCTTAGGCACCTTTCCCTGGCGATGGGGAAAGATGCGCTCCTGTGGAGGGCAATTCGGAGCACCTCTCGCTCTCTTTGCTGACTGTTGTGGCACTCCAGCCAGTTAAACCACTGCATTTATCTTCAGGTGCTAAACACATTCACGGCATTATATAGTGTTACGATGGGCTGCGTCTGCAGATACATAGAAAGTGCTAACACGCTACAGCATCACAAACACCGACAGCGTGTGCCCAGGCAGTTTAATATAATCTACATTTTTAATTATGGGATTTGGTTACCTGTCACTGCTAGACAAAATGGTACAAATATTAGCTGTATGCATCTCAGGAACACTCTCCTATCCAAATTTGCTAGCTGTACGTCTCATCCAGCAATGATGAACTTGCGGGTTTACATATTTTGAATCCTCTTTGCAAGGCAATTGATACAGACACATTAAGCAGGCAAAACTAATATTTGAATATTGAGTGTTTACCTGTTATCCGGCTGTTTTCCATACGTTGCATAATTCAATTTAAATCGCTTTGCCTGAAACAAGGCAAAAATCAATCCAAACAATTAGGAAAAAATACAATAAGCTTATTATACACAACTTTCTAAATGCTGACAGGTGTTCAACGCCATCAGGCCAGCCAGTTAAGGTATCAAGGACAACATTTTTATTTGACATCAGTACAGCTATAATAATGAAAATCAGCAAAGAACCTGCACCAAGAGGTTTCGCCTATCTTTATTTTAACAGTTTATAAAGCTAGTGAGAGAGAGGTGAACCTTAGATACTGTCAAAATTTTGTATTGTTAAGGAAGACAGGAAAACAGAGGTACTAACAACAAATATTAAAGGACTTCTAATTTTAAGGTCTTAATGACAGCACAAACTGTTGGACATTTGTGATTTACAAGAATACTGGCAGACCTGAATCCGCCACATCGGAAAATGGAATCAATCCCTGAGTCTCAAAGTATGGCTAAATACTTTGCTCTGGATGATGTGCTCATTTAGTAAGATGCCAAATGAAGGTTTTTCTGAAAGCCTGATCTGTCGTTGGACACTGGAGGCCTCCCTAAACTGTGTACCCGATTTTCTTTTTAAACAAGTTTCCCAGAAGCCTAGATTTGTGCCCACTGGCACATCTGAAACTCACCGCCCCCATCCTACCAGGGTTCAGCAACTTGTGCCCAACTCATATTCAAGTCTAGACCAAGATCTAAGGAGCAGTTGGTCTTCTGCCTCAAAACCCCAAGGGCCCCAATCCCACGGGCATTCTTATACGATGCTTAGCACACAACGACCCAAGCAGGCTCACCCCAGAGTGCAATGGCAATTGCTATTTTCTTCTGAAACACGTCTCATAGAGGAAGAAGCAAAGGATTGCGCTCCTTTACAAGAACACTGGTGTCCAAACTCACTCAAGCAGTGGAAGACCTAAGTTGGATTCCCTCATCAGCTTCAGGGGCTTCAAAACCATTTTTCTATCTCCCAACAGGCACCCAAAGCAGATATCCCTCTGCATTACACAGTGGCACAGCAAGAACTCAAGGGGAGTTTCACCAAAGAAAGCAAACCTACTCTGAGTCCATAACCTAGAGATCAAGACCTTTGGGTAGTACAGCGGAGGCCCTAGCGTGCTCCTGCTACTTTCCTGACGTACTTTCTTCCTTCAAAGACAGCGTGAATAATTCTTGGGAAATAGAGCAAAGACTTAACTCTAGGCTATAATCCTGTTCCTTGCATGCTTGCATTCACTGGTACACAGTGGTACACAACTCTTTCTGTGGACCATTTACAAGCTAACACAAAATTTAGATTACACTGTGAAGCACTTTCATCTTTTTTATTTTTTTATTTTATTTTGCTTTTCATTGCAGTATTTTGGGTCTAACGTCAATGAGAGACCTGAGGCACCATGGCTCTCTGCTATTCCTTTGGCTGATTCAGTATTTAAAAATAAATAAAAGAGCGAGCCACATTCAGTTTTCTGCAAACAAGAGAAAAAGTATCTAAACACAAGAGAGGAGCTGGACAGTTGCCTGCTGAGTGCACTGATTTAGGCTGCCTACACTGGATCTCCGTTTGACATCTGTAATTCTCTCCATGTGTTATGTAAATCATCCCTCTACACAACACCGCGTTCTGAATTTAACTGTGGCTAAAGGCAGGTATTCCCGAACCCAAACTTCAATTATTATATTACTCCTTGCAAGAGCTGCTCTCTTTCTCTCTCTAGTGACTACAGAAGGCATCTAGGAAGATTAGCTTCCCTTAATCGGGGGCCCTGATTTGCAGTATAAGGGCATATTAAACAGGACAGGTGAAACAGATACCTCCAGGCCTCTCATCTACCCCTGTTAAGAGGGAACGCCATCTTCTCAGGAAGGTTGCCCAAACAGTTCAAGGAGCAACACCTGAACTTCCCAGTTTCCTACTCAGGGTATTAACTACACTGAAATCGGCATCGGTTTACCTTACTCTATCACACCGTAAGGGAGGTGATATTAGAGCTGCTTTATGAACCAGTCATCCTAACTACTGCAGCCAACTTCTGTGGGTACAACGGACAGCTGTGTCAGCCGTCCCATTTTAATCTACTACACATTCGAGTCAACATCCTAAAATTAGCCTCTGTGACTACGATTCCTCCTCTTCTTCCTAACTACCTAGCTTTTATGTATCTGAGACATTTGTTATGTATTGCAATTATACAACGGACTAGCTTTTTCTCTACTGTAAATAGGTTTGAATAACTTTTGTTTTCTGAGGGTCAAGAATAATGCAAGGCTTAGAAGTCACATTAGTCTTACAAAGCAAAGTTACTCAAAACTCAGGGCGGACTTGAAAGTTCATCCTGTACATATATAACAACATACGCACTGTAACAAATCAACATGGAATGACAGAGAGACAGAAGGACTGTGGTAGGTACACTCCATCTATTTTGTCCTTGTTCTTCTCTGGTGTCTTATTATTCCAACTCTGGTAATAGCAGAAAGGCTCAGAAATACAACATTTCTATACCTGAATTTTATCCAGACATTCACACAGAAATTAGTACTTTTTCCAGCAATTTTCTGAGCATTAACAGTTTTCTGAGAACATTAATAGTTTTATGCTCATTAATTCAACTCTGAAGAAAAGAAGAATCTCAGTTTGCCAACTATGAATTTGTAATAATTCAAAATACGGATTCTACACTATCTATTCCTTCCCACTTTTGCTTCCCAACTGGCTGATTTCATTTACTTACCGGTGTAGCACCAGGAAGCGGTTTTCCATTGATTTTGTGTAAACATTTCTCTGCAGTAGCTAGATCTGCAAATTCTACAAAGCAATAGCCTGCTGGAATTCTGAACACACGACACAGGAGAGGAAAGAGAAAGATTTCAGATTTAAAACACATTTGAGAAGAAATATTACGTTTTTAGACAACTGGTAGGAAATTTGCAATAGTTGCAATACTTAGAACAATTTCTTTTACAAAGTATAAACCAAAAAGAAGCTAGCAAAGTAATCTTGGATCTCAAGTAAAGTGATAGCCCCTACTTACCATTAAGTCGTGTCAACATAAGCACATAGAAAATAGTTTTGCTCACAATCAGTTCACTTCCTACTTTCACTGACTATACATTTTCCCACTCAACTTTAAACTAAAACCTGAAATTTCAACATTTACAAGAATATGAAACTACTTTATTCTGCATACAGTCACTCATTTTATTCCAAGTGAACTCAAAAGGTTCTCCTATTGCTCTTTCTAAGTCAAACTTCCCACCTCCGCCAGCATCACGTAACTGCACGAGTGCAACGACTGACACCAACTAGTCACTGAAGCCTTCACAGCCCCGGAGGTGTCATTCCCAGAGGGACTGTATGGCATACAGAGGGACTGTATGGCATACATACGCCACTGTGAATGAGTGCTGAAGCACTGCAGGATGAGGGCCAAACCTTGGTTTGTTGATGAGGGTGGGTCAAAGAGACAGCGATCGTCCTCTCCATTGCTATCATCAATATACCCCTATTGTTGGCAGCAATGGTGAAAAGCTCAAAGGGAAAATCACTGGAATACGGACAGGACCACAGCGATGGGCAGAGGGCAAACGGTTCAATCCAAATGCACAGGTAGAACAAACTGAGAACAAGCATAAACAGTTACCCTGTCAACCTGTTTCGAATGATTTTTACACTCAGTACAAGCTCTCCCATGGTGGCAAATGCTCTTGAAACAAAGTTTTCATCCATATATGGCTCCAGCTATAAAAGCAAAAAAAAAAAAAAAAAGTTAGATCAAGGCATCTACAAAAAGGAGAATTTATGTGTCAATGTCACCCTAAGCAGTTAAAACATTATTGAGAAGTATTTTACCCTTACACTTCAAAAAGAAGACTCATTTAAGAGGGTCGATGCCACTCAAAACCAGCAGGCATGCATGAACCAGGCTCAACAGTCTGCAAAGTGGAACCCAAGAGACAGCATGAATTTCAGAGAACAGGGAGCTTTCACAGAAGGACAAAAGCCACTCAGAAACATACAGCAACAAACTGAGCGTTCACTACACGGAGCAGGGGATAAGGAGATGGCAGGCTCTTTCTCTGTATGCCAGCGCGATCGGTACACAGGTGCAGCGCAGCCCGGGGTGCTATGATGAACGGGCAGCCTGCATCAGGTAACACAGCCCCCATGGAGCTGGGGTGGGGGTCTGCAGAGCCGTTGTCTACCTCGCATAACCGTGGAGATACACAGGGCATCACTCGGAGGGGAGACCTCAAATCGCGTCCCGCAGTAGGCCTGCGCTTTGTATTTCCTGTGGGTGCACTGACTGTGTTTATGTCACAGGTGAGAGGGTGGCACTGTGCCCGTCGGAGTGTGTGTGAAGGGCAGGGCAGTGGTACTGTGTGAGTGAATATGCCAGATAGCGAGTGTCTGGATGGTACAACTGAAAAGTTTGAAATGGCACTACAATTTGGACCAAATATATGATGAAGGGGCTGAGGGAAACGGATGCCTCTCTGTGTAATAGAAAGTGGAGGAGGGAACTAACTGAAATTCAGGTTTTGCTCAATACGCTTCAATAGGGAGCACTGCATGTGACAGGTAACACAGGGCTGGGGTGTGGGCGAAACATATATAGCTATATATAAGTATATATACCTGTGTGAGTGTCACAGATGGCCTCGTGGTAACTGACAGCCCTCGAGTGTGTTTGTATGTCTGTCAGGTACCAGGTGGCTCCATCACCTGTGTGTGCGACAGAAGGTGCAGTATCTGATAGTGCACTCACACGTGCAAAAGGTGGCAGATGCCCTGCGGAGGCGTGAGTGTAAAGCTGAAAGGACTCCCATCCATGTGTCAGAAGCAGGAGGCAGCACTACTCTGTACAGACACGCCACGCAGAGCGTGACCCTGTGGTGTGTGTGCGCACAGGAAAGTCAGACTCAGGAAGGCAACAGGTGACTGTCGCTTGGATATGTACTGTGTGTTTCAAAGAGCTGCAGCCTGCTTGTGAGAGAGGTGACTGAAAAAGAAGATGGCTTTATGGTGAAGAGGTGGTACATAACCCTTTGCGTGGGTAAAAGAAAGAGACAGCAGACCCTGTGGGGTCTGCTTTCATGAGTGGCGGGCAGTGGAAGGCTCCCTGATGTGTCAGCGTATGTGTGCATACAGCGGTGTGTGTGAGTGTGTGTATAAGAGAAGCATTCGGTGGGATCCTTAGTGATGTGCTGGGTTGTGCGTACGCACAGGTGAGAGACTGAGGAAGACTACAGGGTGCACGAGTGCGTGCAAGCAGGACCACGCAATGCGCTGGTGTGAGTGTCAAAAAGGGGCTGGAGAAAGATGTGTGTGCAAGACATGGGCAACACAGAAATTGTGATACACTGGCATAACTGCATATGCATGTCTGTATGTATATGCAGGTGTATAAAAGCACGTGGCAGGCAGCACGGACACTACGACACAGTGGTGGGATTGTATATGTGACTGTAATAAGTGGGAGACAGTGCAGACACTACAATATGTGAGCACATACATACAGGCGTGTGGGTGGGTGGCAAAGCACTACAACACGCTGGGTGTGAGTACGCCTATGCCAGCGTGTACGAAAGCGTGTGTGTACAGCGGCAGGCGGTGAGGGATGCAAGTATGAGGGTGTACGCAGTGTGTGTGAAGGGCAGACGAGCGACACTGTGGGGTGTGTATCACGGTGTGAGTGTGCCCACAGCATGCATGCGAGCAGGCAGCGAGAGACACTAGGGTGAAGAAGCACCAGTGAGTGTGAGTGTGCTGCCAGGTGGACATGCAGGCAGGAATGAGGGAAATACTGGGGTGTGTAAGTGCTTATGAGTGCTTGTGCATGTAGGAGAGAGCAAATCCTTGTAAGTGTGCGAGTGCACCCTCAGGTGTGCACATTTGGGCAGGCAGTGAGGGATACTCTTGGATAGGAGCGTACAAGCATGCGAGTACACGTAAGCATAAGTGCCTGTAAGTGTGAGCACAAGCGTGTGAGCCTAGCAGCACAAGCGTGAGCGCGAGCGTGTGAGTGTGTAAGTGCCTTACAGCGTCTGACCGTGAGCATGTAAGTACCTACAAGCACATGAACATATAAAGTAGCATATAAACCCTAGAAGCACGCAAGCGTACGGGCTTGCGAGTATGTGAGCGAGTGTGTAAGTGCCTCATAGAGCATGAGGATGAAAAGTGTGAGAACACGTCAGTGCCCACGAGCGTACCTGCCCACCCGCGTGAGCGCAGGCAGCACGGGACGCTGGTGTAAGTGCCACCAGCGTGCCTGTGACCCTGGCAGGTCGCCCTGGGGGGGGGAGTGTGTGTGTCTCAGTGTGTCTGTGAGTGTGTAACTGCCCACAAACGTGCCTGCCGGGCCGGGGTTAGCGTCCCTGAGCGTGTGTGCGTGTGTCAGCGTGTGCCAGGGTGCGTGTCAACCTGCGTGAGCCTGCCAGCGCGTACAGGAGCGGGTGTGCGTTAGAGTGTCAGTCAGCTCGGGAGTTTATCCGGGTGTCAGTGTGTGTGAGGGTCTGTGAGGCTGTGTCAGTCAGTCAGTCAGTCTGTGAGGGTGTCAGTCAGTCAGTCAGTCAGTCAGTGTGAGGGTGTCAGTCAGTCAGTCAGTCAGTGTGAGGGTATCAGTCAGTCAGTCAGTCAGTCTGTGAGGGTATCAGTCAGTCAGTCAGTCGGTGTGAGGGTGTCAGTCAGTGTGAGGGTGTCAAGCCGGTCGGTGTGAGGGTGTCAGTCAGTCAGTCTGTGAGGGTATCAGTCAGTCAGTCAGTCAGTGTGAGGGTATCAGTCAGTCAGTCAGTCGGTGTGAGGGTGTCAGTCAGTGTGAGGGTGTCAAGCCGGTCGGTGTGAGGGTGTCAGTCAGTCAGTCTGTGAGGGTATCAGTCAGTCAGTCAGTCAGTGTGAGGGTATCAGTCAGTCAGTCAGTCGGTGTGAGGGTGTCAGTCAGTGTGAGGGTGTCAAGCCGGTCGGTGTGAGGGTGTCAGTCAGTCAGTCTGTGAGGGTATCAGTCAGTCAGTCAGTCAGTGTGAGGGTATCAGTCAGTCAGTCAGTCGGTGTGAGGGTGTCAGTCAGTGTGAGGGTGTCAAGCCGGTCGGTGTGAGGGTGTCAGTCAGTCAGTCTGTGAGGGTATCAGTCAGTCAGTCAGTCAGTGTGAGGGTATCAGTCAGTCAGTCAGTCGGTGTGAGGGTGTCAGTCAGTGTGAGGGTGTCAAGCCGGTCGGTGTGAGGGTGTCAGTCAGTCAGTCTGTGAGGGTATCAGTCAGTCAGTCAGTCAGTGTGAGGGTATCAGTCAGTCAGTCAGTCGGTGTGAGGGTGTCAGTCAGTGTGAGGGTGTCAAGCCGGTCGGTGTGAGGGTGTCAGTCAGTCAGTCTGTGAGGGTATCAGTCAGTCAGTCAGTCAGTGTGAGGGTATCAGTCAGTCAGTCAGTCGGTGTGAGGGTGTCAGTCAGTGTGAGGGTGTCAAGCCGGTCGGTGTGAGGGTGTCAGTGAAGGTCTGTGTCTTAAAATGGGTGGAAAAGCAGCCGGGCAGGGTGCCCACCTGGGCTGGAGAGGGGCCTCCATCCGTGGCGCTGTTCTGCAGACACAGCTCCAGAACTCGGCTCTTTCTGAAAAGGCACAGGGTGTTTCCAGCCCCATTTAATGGGGCGAGAAAATGGGGTCTGTTACGTACGCCAAAGTTTCACGTGTGAGAAGAGAAATAAAACAAACGGCAAATTTCCCAATTAAAAGATCCTTGTGTTTTTCTGAGACGGGGGTTGAATTCATTTTAACACCCCAAGCTGACAACCCAGGCCCCCACGCATCATGGGATTGGCTTAAAAAAAATCATGAGGCTTTTAAGTGAAGAAAAGAATTAATTACTTCATATAGTAGTACACAGGACCGCGCTGTGCCCTGCGTAGATACCGTGGAAACTCATTGAAAAAAAATTCCTTTGGTTTAGTAAATGGGTACCATTCCTGCCATTGTGGTGTTTTATAAGCCCTTTGGTCATCTCTTCAGGTTTTCTCACAGGTGTCGGGGGGTGCTGGAATAAACTGTGTGGAAGTTTTTCATCTCTCCGCCGTGAGTTTGCAGCTCAGACGCTGCTGTCGGCGCTGGCACACGGTTTACGAAGTTGGGCACTTCTGGGCCATGTCAGCAGAAGGCCAAAGCTCAGTGAAGTTTACTTGGCTGAGGAGGTTTGTGGGAAGCCATAATCCCTGCTCCCTTCTACCCAACAGGGCAGAAGTATAGAATCACAGAATGGTTTGGGTTGGAAGGGACCTTGAAGACCACCCAGTGCCACCCCCTGCCCTGGGCAGGGACACCTCCCCCCAGCCCAGGTTGCTCCAAGCCCCGTCCAACCTGGCCTTGAACACCTCCAGGGATGGGGCAGCCACAGCTTCTCGGGGCAACCTGCCCCAGGGGATCACCACCCTCACAGCCAAGAATTTTTTCCTGATATCTGACCTAAATCTCCCCTCTTCCAGTGTAAAACTGTTCCCCCTCGTCCTATGGGTCCCCTCCCTGATCAAGAGTTCCTCCCCAGCTTTCCTGTAGCCCCTTTAGGTTCTGGAAGGGGCTCTATGGTCTCCCCGGAGCCTTCTTGTCTCCAGAATCTGTGCTCCAAATCCCAGCCAAACCGGGGCTGCCCCCAGCTCTGAGATAGACCACTTGGCAGGCAGGAGATCCGGTCTTTGGGGTCATCAGCTCAGCACGTGGGGTTGGATTGGGTACGGTGTAATTCTCCCTCTTCTCC